TGTTGTTGTTGTTGTTGTTGTTGTTGTTGTTGTTGTTGGTTGGTTGGTTGTTGTTGTTGTTGTTGTTGTTGTTGTTGTTGTTGTTGTTGTTGTTGTTGTTGTTGTTGTTGTTGTTGTTGTTGTTAGTGTATACTCTTGTATTCCTCGTGCTACTACGATTGTTGTTGCTAGATCATTAGTATTGACATTATCGTTATTCTTGTTGTTGCTGCAGCAAGCATTATTGTTATGTTTATCTTGGCTAGCATTCTTGGTACGATGACCATGAAGAACTAATCGTATTATTCTTCAACTTCTTCTTTATACTATACTATACTAGAATGTATGATTTATAGTTTTCGTTCAGCATCAGGGCAAGGAGCCAATTCCATGGCAATCGATGTGCGCTTGCGCTGACCGCCACTAATTCCCCGCACGTCGGCGTTGCCTCAGGCTGCAGGGGTCGGTGCTCCTACTGAATGGGTTTAGGGTTTAGGGAATGTGTCGGAGCTCTCTTGATGTCTAGCTGTCTGCAAATGTCATGCTTGCTACTTGAGCTGAAAGCCATCCCTCCATTGCTTGACAAGTCTCCAACCACCGTGTCTTTGACATGCCAGATGCCCACATCGCGGAGAACTGTATCGACTCGTTCAGAGAATCCTGCTAGCGGAGTGTTCGGCGGAAGCCTCAACCGGGCCGCGAAATAGACGTTCTCGTACACCGTCAGCTCCTGGCAGCGCTGCAGGCTCGGCAGTCCAGTGCTATTGGTGGACTCGTGCTAGGCCTTCTGAAGTTAAAAGTCTTGTGCATCTGCACCTGAACCACGGTTTGGATGCAGATCCAGCCCCAGCTCTACGCAGCAAGCAAGACAGGGAACAGGCTGGAGAAGGTGTACCTTCAAGTCCAGCTGCCTGTGCTAAAAACCATAAAACCTGTATCTGTACTCTGCATCCTCCAAAGGTGTTGAGCATGGCATTTACTTTTCGGAAAGAGCAGGCGGCTCATTTCTGAATTGGTGCTGCAGAGGGGCGGTATGCATGACGTCATCCTGGGGGACCTCGACTTGGGACTTTGCACTCTGGGAATAGGGTCTTTAGTATTAGGGAAGAGGCTCCTAAAATAGGGGTCTTTAGGAAGAGGCTCATAATTACAAGAGTTCAGGCTCCACAGGTCCGAGTTAAGGGTTCTCAGTGTGATTGGAACTGAATTCTCTGTTGTTCTTCGTGGCACGTGGCAGATCGCATAATTCCGGTCCAGCCACGACTTTTGCAGCTCTGGGGTTGAAGCAAACACCATCACTGTCGTCGACGCCATGGTCGTTCTCACACTCGTCATACTCACCAGTTAGGGTTTGGGGTTTAGGGTTCTCACCAGACTTATCCCAACCGTTTGGCTAACGTGAGAACCATGAACCAAACATGCGTAATCTGCTCTGTTGCCTTCATCCAGAACATAGGCATCAAGATCAGACAGCGCTTCTCCTGCCAGCCCATGTCCTTCATACCAGTATCTGCCTTCCATTTGCCTTTACTATCCTCATCACTGCCGCTGTCACGGCCACCACCGTGATCAGAATCTAGCTAATAACATCATGATGATCGATACAAGTAGCTGCATCACCATCTTCGTCTTCATCGCCATCATCACCACCGCCGTCCCTGGCACCACCCTTGATGCCAACATCGTCAGAACAACACGGGGAGCATGTTGCCTATAACAATCCCCTCCTCAATATCACCCTCATCGACATCATCACCGTCATCACAGTACTCGCCGTTGTCTCATCATCATCCTCACCATCATCATCATCTTCTTCTTCCCTCGCGGCGAAAAGATTCTCGATCCCTTGCAAGCGGATGCTTGCAGGGCACAGCCCGGGCCGCTGTTGTCGCGGCATAGCACGTATGCTCGTATGAGCATGCCTTCCATGACAGCGTCATCACCATGACCACCGCCATCGCACCAACACCAGCCGCCTGTATTCAAGTGTTCAAGGTAAGGTAGCTGTCCCAAAGCCCAAGCTCAAGCGTCGCAAAGCCCAAGCATCCTGCTTCATCGGGTCCCTATATTCGGGCGCACTTAACCCAACGCCCTAAGCAGAAGCTAACCCCAAAAGCCTACAGTCAAGGTCGAGAGGCAAATCCCGCAGAATTCCGCGTTTTCAAGTTGGACTCGACACCCTCTGGAATGGCTTCGCCATTGGCTTTCAACACGCCGGATACGTCTCCTTTCAGACACGAAGCGGTGCTGTCCATGTAAGGCGCAAGACTTAAACCACAAAGCCCTAAACGCAACACCGATTGATGTTCCCGCGGAAGCTTCGCGGGAGGACCTCTCTCTCGAACCCTCGACAGAGCCATCCGCCTAGCTTGGCAGCAACAGCAACCTTAAAACCTCAAGCCCTAAACCCCTAAACCCTGAAACCCTAAAGACTAAATCCCTCAACCCTTCACCCAAAATCCTCGCCCCGAACACTCAACTGAAATTCACAACCGCCGGGTCCATAGTGTTGCGCCCGGCCAGTGAGGACGTTCCTCAAGCACAGGCCATCACAGGATCGCTGCAGTAATCCAATGCTTAAGGGTGTAATATAGGGGCCTTAATAATTAGAATAGGGTGTTGGGTCTATAAAACTATAACCATAATCAGGAACCCCCAAATAGTATTGGTAATTATTTTGGCTCCATTAGGTCATGACATGACAATGAGGATCGTTTACCGTAGCCCGCGTTACCGGAAGGAGATGTGTTATTTTTGCGCTTAATTCAAACCGGGAAACTGGTAACCCCAAGGAGTACCGTTACTAATCATCCAGGCCGCTATAGAATAAAGTCTGAGGAATACTTCATAACGACTCAGGCGTAGCCACAAAGCAGGGTTGCAGAACCCTTGGGAATCTTCCCCCAGAAACCTCCAGAAACCCAAAGCTCCAGCAAAAACCAGAAAACCCTAAAACACCCTAAACCTTAAACCCCAAATCCTAACCCCTGAATCCTAAACACCTAAGCCCTACAGTCCTACAGTAAATCCTAAACCAGGGTTGGATGATCTTATACATCGCTTCAGAGGGCTTCTCAGGCAAGCAGCCGACTGAAGAGCCTCACGATGCTGTCCGATACTCTGTTTGGGGTGTAGGGCTTTGGGATGTTTGGGGGTTTGGGGTTTAGGGCTTTAGGGCTTTAGGGCTTTAGGGCTTTGGGCTTTAGGGCTTTAGGGTTTTGGGGTTTAGGGCTTTAGGGGTTTGGGGTTTCAGGGCTTAGGGTTTTGAATGTGGATCCTTGGCTGTGGATCCTTGGCACACACACGCACAACTGAGTCCTAAACCCGTTTGCTGCAGGCCTGCATGGAAAGAACGCCAAATCACTGTTATCCCACAAATCTCCGACAACTAAAACTGAAATCCCAAAACCCAACTCCTGAGGCTCTCCGAGCTTTGAAACGACTGGCGCTGCGTCTTGACACCCCGAACACTAAGATCCGAAGGTCCGAACCCAGAATCTGGGCTCAGGGTTAAGTTTACGGTTTAGGGTTGAGGGTTTAGGGCTTGTAAGGCTTTACTCTGGGTTTAGGGTTGATTGGGTTCAAGAAGCGCTTCTTTCACGATGATTGTTACATAGGTTTAAGCGTTTCGGGGCCTAGGGTTTAGGGCCGCAAACCCTTTAATTCTAAAGCGGAATGTGACTCTTCACGCCCTAAATCCCCTGAACCCTAAACCCTGGCATGCACACTTCAGAGCTCCTGCGGTGGGCTCTAAGGGCAGTTGTCTTCCAACCCGAGAGGCTCTCCGTGAAACCCCGAGCCCAGGAACACCCCCACACTCACATAAAGCCGTAGCTGATCCAACATAGTATCAAGCCATTACAAGTAGTAGAAGGCCTGGAAGAACGAAAACTACACTATCAAAACATATCAAGACCCTACAACACCATCCACATAACCCCCGTGAGAGGTGAGAGGATACTACGGACCGAGATGTAATTTCTGCTTTAGTATCCAGAACCCTACACCCAAATAAAGCATCCTAAGCCCTAGAGCATCCAAAACCCTTATCCCCATTGAACTATCCTTCAACTGGTTCCCTGCTGAGGCTACAATAAAAAGTGATCATTCTTCATCCTTATTGGGTTTTATTATAAACAAGTACCATTGTAGTCATTGTAGTCAACCAGGACCCAGTCAAACCCTAAACCCTGTTTAAAGCAGAGACTCAACAGGCTGGACTTGCCACTGCCAGAAGGGCCCATGAGGGCGCAGCTGCTATCCTCAGAGAGTTAGACTTAGACTGGACACGTCCGAAGCTTCACAGCTTGCTGCAAGACTTTTAGGGCTTCGGGCATGTTTGGGCTCTTACAGTAGGGAACTTACGATTGGGGTTTTGGTTTGGGTTTTATTTGAGCAGTTCAGGTTGAAGCGTGAGCTCTGGCTTCGAATAATACCGGTAATCACTTTGGGCTCTATGTTTCAACCCCCTTGACAACTTGAGGTGTAGAGTTCAGACGCTGAGGCCCCATCGACTTCGACTGCAGGTTTGGGCCTGGGGAACGGAAGCCTAGTCGGTCCCTAAAGCCTAGCCCTAGAACCCCAAATTGTTTGGGCTTGGGGAACGGAAGCACGGTTTAGGGTTTAGGGATTTAGGGTTCTAGGGTTTAGGGTTTAGGGTCCCTAAAGCCTAGGCCTAGAACCGCAAATTGCTCCGGGCCCTGGAAGAACAATGCAACAACCCTTGCCAAATCCGTAAGATCCCAAGAGAAGAGTTGAGCTGTGAGAACACCCGGGGTCGGGAGGTCTAGGAGTCGCCCCTAAACCCTACCAACGGATGCACATCAATATCAAGCGTCCGCGGGGATTTCAAGCGAAATGTTGCGCAGGACCTCGGGTAGGTAGTTTGGCATTTGGGGTTGAAGGCAGAAAGAAGTGAAGCTACATGTCAGTTGTAGACTACGAGGACTCCCATGTCAACGTCAGGATCTCGGGCATCAGAGGCTTGGAAATGCACAAGGCCTCGAAGCGTGACCACATCTGATGGTAAGACCAAAAATCGTGCAAGATCAACTTCAACAAGGGGATGCAGCAGTTCCGACGGGGATGGAAGGTGAGACCGGATGTGTGTCACTCGTTCACTCTTCGCAGGACAGCAAGTCAAGCGGTGCAGCCAGACACAGGCTTCTATGCGATGACACTGTAATTGCATAAGCAAAACATAGCAGCCTGCACGCAGCATACTGAAAGGCCGTGACCGAACCCATGCTCAATCTAGGACAGCGCACACCCGCGCACACACACACACAC